ACTGCGGCCTACCATACAACTAAATATCCTGCACTGCCCTTATTCCCTTTAAACATATTTATCCTACCGTTTTTGCTACCGTGACTTAATGACCATTACACCGAGAAATCAAACCCAACAAACCCCCCGTCGGACGAGAGTCGAATCATAATCACAATCAGATAAACCCCATTAATCAGAGTTTTCCTTTTAAAAAACCCACCGTCTGCCCATTCTATCGTTCAAACGGATTTGCCGGCCCAACATCTAAAATGGCCCCCCCGGGGTCTTAAAGCGGTACAGTGCCCTAAAGAATGCGCATATCTGCCTTAATTGTACACTTCAATACTTAATTCCTACCGTTTAATGCTCTAAAAACTTCCAATTATCTGCCGTTTCCAATGGAATATATTTTAACAGACTCTAGTCATCAGCAATAACGCCACCCGAGGCAAGGTCGTAATGGTACATCTCTCCAGTGTACACAAGTCGTATCCAATCTAACAAACTCCGAAGCGGTAAGAAAAACTCACCCTTGTTTGGCCATGCTTCAAAGCGAGTTAGCTTGGCGGCTACGAAACAAAGAAGAGGCGCAGACCAGCCCCATGTTGGGCGCCATTATGTCGTATCGGGTGAATGGTGGCATATTATTGCTGTCAACAAAGAGTCCGTTTATGCTGCATCGTGTTAGAGGCTTTTATTAAAATCACGAGGTTACAGCATAAGTACAGACCCGCGGTGTCCGGAGAACGGCTCCTCAGATTGCCATGGCCGTTCTGCCCTTTCTGTAGTCTAGCCCCTATTTATAAACAATGATGCTCCCTCTTCTGGCCAATCACCAGTCTCCCCTGTCTACAACACACTTCCTGTCTGTTGTACATGACGTTACACTAAAACATATACTAACATAAACAACATTCCATTTCTTCATGAAAAACATTTAACAAAGACATAATCTTCATATACGATACTTTCCTTGCTGATATTTGCCATGCAATGCAGCTGAAGTAACGTAGCTAGCTAACTATGTTATTGCTTATCGTGTAATGAAGGATAAAAATACCTGTATGCCTATGGATGTGTAACTAGCTATGTAGCCGATTTGTGTATGGATCCTAAAACGTTTGGTATAAATATTAGTTCTGAACCTAGCTATGAACTTCAGCTATCATAGCCGGTTGTATCGACTTCAAAACAGTCTGAATGGCATCAATGAAGCCTATGGATTGAGTAGACTATAATACAACTTTATTGTGCCAAGGATACAAGTTGGATATACATATAGTTATTACCAAGCATGAGATCTCCACATTGTAGCCTGTACATTGACTATATTCACTGATCATGTACTCTACCTTGGCAAATAAAGGTGTAGTTCAGGTATAAATGTCTGTGAGATTCTTTTTCAGTCATATCCAATACCAGGAGTGTCTATCTCCAGTCTTTGAATGATGCTGTGTCTGCATGTATGTATTACAATTATACACTTCAACAATATTTACCAATCCTGGTCCTGGGACATCAATGGCTACATGTTGTAACTATGCAATAGACTAGAAACATGATTCAACTTGTTAAAGGCTGATTTGTAATTCATATATAGAGAAACAGAATTTAAAAAACACTACACTACACTTCCTATGTGTCATGTAAATACTCTAAAACCGGTTCATCTCAATTTCTAATTTCCTTCATCTGCACTGATCAGACACAGGATAGTTGTAGTATTTCATCAAATGAGATCTAATTTCAACCAGTAGAGAATGTGAAACGCTTTATTGAAGTAAGTTAATTGTCCAAGTGTTATAAATACATAATACATGCATTATAAATATCATTATAATATATTGTAAATACAAGTTCAATCTGTACTTCAATGCACATCTGGTGTGCATTATAAAAACAGAGGAAGAAAGAGGAGGTGGGGAGAGAGGTGTGAGAGTGTAAAAGACAAGGGGAAAGAGGTAAGAACAGAGGAGCAGAGAAGACAGCATATGATTAATGAATTACAGTGCTACTAGATGTCAAGTTCTCTCAGTTCATCACAATTACATAATAGTGTCTCTAGCGGTCTCTCCTAACCAGCCTTGGGCCCCCAGTTAGGCTGAAGGTTATCCTAAGAGCGGGTGAGGTGGCGATGATGGGACTGGGGGTTGGCATCCTATCTCACATCAAAACATACCTGCAGACGAGTGACAGCTGGAGAGAGAGAGCGCGTGATTAAGCCTTATGTTTTTTTTTTATAACACTACTACATCTCTATCTGTATTTCAATGGAAAGCATCTGGGGGGGGGGGGGGGGTTCACCGACACAGCTGATATAACCTAGAGGATTTAGGGAGAAGGGGGGAGAGGGATGAAGTGAAGGAGAGGGACTGTTATTTAGAAAATAAGGTAGTTATAGAGACAGTGTTCAACAGGAATCTGTTGTGGCCTCACTTGGTGTTCACACTAAGTGGCTGCAGAGTACTTCATACTGAAAAACATGCACAGACACACAAGGACAAACAATATAGCGTAGTTATATAAATAATGAAGTGTCTTACTATTCTCCATGGTTGGTCCTCTTGCCTATTATTTGAAGGTGGAAGGAGCCAGTTATACACCTGAGCCTCCTTACTGCACAACACAATCCATCAATCAGATTGACACACAAGTGTGTAGGTATGGGTTATAGGGTGTCTAATTGTTCATTTATTTTTCAATGTGGGTGACTCTTAAAAGAGCCTGTTTTGTTTTTGTACAGACATCACCCTTACCTGAACAGCACCCTCACCTGAGAAGTAGAAATCAAAGAGAGAGAAACTGGGAATTGAATAACTGCAGTTGACATCGCTAAGTAAACAGAATAATTATCTTATTGCAATGTGGATGGCTCTTAAAATAGCCTTTGGTTGTGCGTAGTGTAGTCTATGGTGTGGCCAGGGAACAGCACCCTCTTCGAAGAAGTAGGAGGTGAAGATCTCCCGCACACGGATTGCCTCCCGCGCTGCATTGTTGGCCCCCATCCTTGAAACATCCTGCAGAGCAGCAGACCTCTCCTCTGGCACACGGCAGCCAACCACATATCCCCTCCTGGTCGTTGTGTTTGTCCTCATGAAGTTATGCAAGACACAGGTAGCCTTCACATGCCTGAATTCCCCCAGGAGGCAGTCCAAGATGGCCCTGGTGCAGTGCCCTACACGGTAACTGTAGGAAATCGTTTTTAAGGAATCTCCAGTTGCAAGGTATCTGTCCATTGGAAATGTATGTACTTCTGGTGTACCAAAATGCAATAACCATGTCGGTGTGATCGAGGCGTTAGAGTTTCGATCAATGATGTGTATAAACGTGCAGCCATCTTGGCACTCTTGAATTGTACAAAATATTTTCAAAGCTATATAAATGCATTTATTAATGTCTACATTCGTTTTTGACATGTTTAATCTATTACAGATACCTTAATGCATACTTTTACATTATGTGCTCTGAACATAAAACAAAACAAAAAAAAATCTAATCAAATCAAGCTTTATTTAATACAGCACATTTCAGACATGGAATGCAACGCAATGTGCTTCACAGGGAAAATAATAAAACCAATGAAATATTTACTACACAACAAACATAAGAGGATAAAATACAAAAGAATAACAATAAAAACAAAATGACTAAAAAGCACCCTAAGGAAAAGCAAAGCTAAAAAGATTTGTTTTATGATCTATTTTAAATATGTCCACAGTTTCGGCCCCACTCAGGTTCTCTGGTAGGCTATTCCAGAGGCTGGGGGCATAATAACTAAAGGCTGCCTCTCCGTGTTTCTTGGTCCTAGGCTTTGGGATAGTTAAAAGGCCAGTGCCAGAGGACCAGAGGGACCTACTGGGTACATAACTTAAAAGCATGTCTGACATGTATTGTGGTGCACAATTGTGGATTGATTTAAAAACCAATAGAAGAATTTTCAAATGAATTCTACAACTCACAGGCAGCCAGTGCAGAGACCTTAAAACCGGTGTAATGTGTGCTGTACATCTGGTCTTGGTCAGTATCCGTGCTGCAGCATTCTGTATGTTTTGCAGTTGACCAATGGCGTTCTTGGGTAGACCAGACAGGAGAGCATTATAGTAGTCAAGCCTGCTTGTAGTAAAACATGAATGAGTCTCTCTGTATCAGCCTGAGAGAGAAACATTTTCCTTAAAGTGTTTTACTTTAGAGAGTACTAATGTTACTATCCCCATTACAATGGCCTCTCAAAGGCCAATACATAGCATCAGCATTCCAGGGTTTATACACGTAATTGGTTTCGATTGCCAAGTACCTCAACTCCATGGTGATTTCAACCACGGAGTTGAGCGCAGACTTTCGTTTTTTTAATGAGCCTCTGACTCCTTCGAGTCGCTATTAAGTCGATACTTTAAAAAATAACTTTCTTAAACCCTTACCGTGTACCTATGTTTGTCCTCTTTTTTTGCGTGCCTTTCTTTCTTTGCTGAAATCAGTACTTTTTAATAAAACGTTAATCAAATACAACCACAGACTGTTTTCTCGTTGCTGTTGCTCCAAGGTGGCAACTCAGCGTGAATGTGCATGTGCCAATTGAATCTCAACAAGGAAAAAGTTGGGGGTTGTATTTGAAAAAACGTTTTATTAAAAAGTATGGATTTCAGGAAACAAAGAAAGGCACGCAACAACAGAGGACAAAAATAGGTACACAGTAAGTTAAACATTTTTAAGGATAGATTGCATAGCGACTTGAAGGAATCGGAGGTTCATTTCAAAAACTCTAGTTTGCGCTCAACTCCGTGGATGAAATTATCATGGAGTTGAAGTACCCGGCTAGAGTTTCGATAGAGTTGACGATATGTCTCTCCATGCATGGCCAAGTTAATATATCAAGATACAAGGTCTACAATCCCTCCCTGGCCAATCATTGATTTGACAGCAGAGGAGAGCAGTATTATGGGAGATTGCCAACAAGGTTGAATAGGTGGGATGTCTGACTGACACTGCTGATACCTGAACTGTCCTTAGTGTTCTCAAAGAAGACCACTAGTCTAAATTACATTATAGCCACAGAAGTTAGGGGGTTTTCAACGTGTTTTCACCTGATCCTCCTGTTTCTGTGCTCAGTGGAGGTGACAGGAGAACAGCAGTATGGTGGCCTGGGAGGAGAGATCACCCTGACCCCCAAGGTCTCAGGACAGCCTGAGGACATCCTGTGGAAACACAATGGGAACAAGGTGGTGGAGTTTGATGGGAGTCAGAATGTGGAGTATGGCAGGTATAAAGGCAGGACCGTCCTGGACTGGGACTCTGGAGAGCTATCTATCAAAGGTCTCACTGATGCAGACAGTGGGCCCTATGAGTTAGAGGCTGCCGTCAAGGGCAAGCTGCAGTACTCACAACATGAGGTGGACGTTATTGGTAAGTGTGTAATGTTACTGTCTAGAGGCCTGCAAGTCAGGTTTGTGTGTATACAGTATGTTGATTTACAGTATCAGTACGGGCGTTTAAAAAAATAATCATTAGGCCTAGACAACGGCTGATTAAGTGATGCCAGAATTGTAAAAAAAAAAAAAAAAAGGAATTGTATACCTTGGGTACTGTAACTAATGAGTCAGGACCCACATATTCTCACCTAGCTCTTGAACTCTTGTTCCAGTGTGATATTGAAACTGCCCCCTTATCATCATTACATCTTTATTACAAATGTTCAAAGTTGCTGGACAGGTTTTCACCCACACCAAGACACACCTCTCCTCAGATCAGTTGAGCTGAAAACAGCTTCTCTCTTTGCTGTGTGTGTGTGTGTGTGTGCTCGTGTGTGCACGTGTGTAGATGATGTGGCACAGCCCAGCGTTACCTGTGTGGTCAACATCACAACCCCAGAGAAAAGCGACCGAACCCTGCTGTGCTCAGCTGACCTTCAGCCCCTCACCAAGTTCATCTGGAGGAGTCCTGGAGGGTCAGTAAGTCCAGGACCTGAACTGTTCATAGCTGGGGGGGAGAACCAGGAGTCTGTCTACACATGTGTGGTGAAAAACCCTGTTAGTGAGAAAACTGCAGAGTTCACCCTGAAGGACTGCTACGCTGGTAAGATAACACTTCTAAACTGCAGTTATAGTAATATATCGTACTCTCACTTTCATTCTCTCTCGTGTTCACAATTTGGATGTATTATTTAATGCTGCCAAGACATTTGCATGCAATGTACATGCTGTACATTTATTGCGAGTGAGAACATGGTTCAGAGAGACATGGAATGAGATTTTTGTGAATACAATGTTATAGTGAGCATGCTAAACATCTTTTTTGAATATCCAGGATATTCATATATTAGTCACTTGCATTACTATATAATTCATAGTGTTATGACTGCTTAATTCATGTGTTATTAAGTGTGAAAATGCTGCCGATCCAAGTTGTTTTAATGGTGTTTCTGTGCAGAGGAAGGCTCATCCAGTGTCCTGGCTGTGATCCTGTCCATCCTCATCCTCCTTGTCTTAGTTGCCGTTCTGGTATTATTGTGGCGCTGGAGGAAAGGCAAGAAACGTAAGACCATCCTATGTCCTATGACAAAATCAGGCCTGAAGGCCAACCTTTAGTTCCAGACTCAGGAAATATAAGGGGCATAGTTCAGTATTAAGGGAGGAAAAGCCCCTCATTCTAATGATCTGGCTAGACCAGAGTCAATCCATTTCCTCCCTACTCCCCTGGCATGTGCTGAGCTTTCAGATGATCACGGTCCCAGTGACGCCAGCTGACTTGTTACAAGGTCGTTGACCTTGGATCTGAGATTAGAGATTAGAGTAGAGAAGAGGAGAGAAAAGAGTACAACCAGCAAACACAGCAAAGTACATACATAGTCTTTCTGGTTAGACATATAAATGATACAGGATGTTTATCCACATCTCTTCCCTATGTCTAATTCTGTCCTTTATCCCTCTTGTCTTTTCCACTCTGTGGTGGATGACCAGCGGCTGAAGCTGCACTGAGAAAATCTGAAGAGGAGGCGGTGCTGATGAAAGTTACAGTACAAGGTTGTTTAGCTGTAAAAATGCTATTTTGAACTTGAGGTGTATTGCTATAGACTTCGTTTGGCCATCACATATATTTTAAGACAACACTAATACCTTACCACTTTGCTGTTTCTAAATAAAACTATTTTGTTTTAATTTAATAGGAAACCAAGATCCTGAAGATGACCATTCTGAGAACACTGGAAATACAACTTATACACAAAAAGGTTCTCCTTATATGGTGTTTATTACCTTGGGCATAAGGAACTTTGAATACATATGGTAATAATGGGAATGAATGTTTTTGTGTGTACAGGACATGTGAAGGAGGTGATAGAGCTGTTTAACAAGCAGGATGCAGATGCAAACAGTAAACAGCACACCGCACCAACTGGAAGGATTTTGTCTCCAACAAAAAGTGGGGGTCACATCCCATTGGACAGACAGAATGACAGGCTCTCAGACAAACAGACAGGTGATTTTTTTCTCCCATGGCAGATAGCTTAAACAAAATAGTCAATATTGAGACTGACAATGACATAAGTCATGTTATCATTAAGACAAATGTGTCTATATAATAGTGTTTGTGTAGTCATGTATCAACCCATTTTCTCAATCTGTGTTTCAGAGACAGAGCCAGTACAGGACAAACCCACCCCGGCCCAACCAGACCTAGTCACACCAGACCCCACCCTGGCCCAACCAGACCCAGTCACACCAGACCCCACTCTGGCCCAACCAGACCCAGTCACACCAGTGCCCACTCTGGCCCAACCAGACCCAGTCACACCAGTGCCCACTCTGGCCCAACCAGACCCAGTCACACCAGACCCCACCCCGGCCCAACCAGACCTAATCACACTAGACCCCACCCTGGCCCAACCAGACACAACAGTTACCATTCTGGGCCAACCAGACCCAGGCACATCAGAGTCTACCCTAGCCCAACCAGACCCAAGCATACCAGAACCCAAAGAAGCCCAGCTAGGTCCGGACACACCAGAACCCAACCAGGAAACAGGAGTGTCGGAGACAAAGCCAGTCCAGGACAGGCCTGGGAACAAGGACAGCACTCCACTCTTGAACAACTCAGACGCCATGTTCCTCCTCAGCACAGACACACATGTTGCTCTGGACCACAATGGTGGGAAATCAAACATCCATGAGCCTCAAGCTGCACTGAGAAAATCTGAAGAGGAGGCGGTGCTGATGAAAGTTACAGTACAAGCCCAACCAGACCCAAGCATACCAGAACCCAAAGAAGCCCAGCTAGGTCCGGACACACCAGAACCCAACCAGGAAACAGGAGTGTCGGAGACAAAGCCAGTCCAGGACAGGCCTGGGAACAAGAACAGCACTCCACTCTTGAATAACTCAGACGCCATGTTCCTCCTCAGCACAGACACACATGTTGCTCTGGACCACAATGGTGGGAAATCAAACATCCATGAGCCTCAAGCTGCACTGAGAAAATCTGAAGAGGAGGCAGTGCTGATGAAAGTTACAGTACAAGGTTGTTTAGCTGTAAAAATGCTATTTTGAACTTGAGGTGTATTGCTATAGACTTCGTTTGGCCATCACATATATTTTAAGACAACACTAATACCTTAACACTTTGCTGTTTCTAAATAAAACTATTTCGTTTTAATTTAATAGGAAACCAAGATCCTGAAGATGACCATTCTGAGAACACTGGAAATACAACTTCTACACAAAAAGGTTCTCCTTATATGGTGTGCATTACCTTGGGCATAAGGAACTTTGAATACATATGGTAATAATGGGGATGAATGTTTTTGTGTGTACAGGACATGTGAAGGAGGTGATAGAGCTGTTTAACAAGCAGGATGCAGATGCAAACAGGAAACAGCACACCGCACCAACTGGAAGGATTTTGTCTCCAACAAAAAGTGGGGGTCACATCCCTCTGGACAGACAGACAGGTGATTTTATCTCCCATGGCAGATAGCTTAAACAAAATAGTCAATATTGAGACTGACAAACATAATAAGTCATGTTATCATTAAGACAAATGTGTCTATATAATAGTGTTTGTGTAGTCATGTATCAACCCATTTTCTCATTCTGCGTTTCAGACACAGAGCCAGTACAGGACAAGCCCACCCCGGCCCAATCAGACCTAGTCACACCAGACCCCACCCTGGCCCAACCAGACCCAGTCACACCAGTGCCCACCCCGGCCCAACCAGACCTAATCACACCAGACCCCACCCTGGCCCAACCAGACCCAGTCACACCAGTGCCCACCCCGGCCCAACCAGACCCAGTCACACCTGTGGCCACCCTGGCCCAGCCAGACTTAATCACACCAGACCCCACCCTGGCTCAACCAGACCTAGTCACACCAGAACCCGCCCTGGCCCAACCAGACTTAGTCACAACAGAGCCTGTGCCAGCCCAACCGGGTCCAATCACAACAGAGACAGCTCCAGGCCAAACAGACCCAAGAACAAGAGAGACAGCTCCAGGCAAAACAGACCCAAGAACAAGAGAGACGGCTCCAGGCAAAACAGACCCAAGAACAAGAGAGACGGCTCCAGGCAAAACAGACCCAAGAACAAGAGAGATGGCTCCAGGCAAAACAGACCCAAGAACAAGAGAGACGGCTCCAGGCAAAACAGACCCAAGAACAAGAAAGACGGCTCCAGGCCAAACAGACCCAAGAACAAGAGAGACGGCTCCAGGCAAACCAGACCCAAGAACAAGAAAGACCGTTCCAGGCAAAACAGACCCAAGAACAAGAGAGACGGCTCGAGGCCAAACAGACTCAGCAGACACAACAGAGACAGCTCCAGGCAAAACAGAACCAATAACAAGAGAGACGGCTCCAGGCAAAACAGACCCAATAACAAGAGAGACGGCTCCACGCAAAACAGACTCAAGAACAAGAGAGATGGCTCCAGGCAAAACAGACCCAAGAACAAGAAAGACGGCTCCAGGCCAAACAGACACAGCAGACACGACAGAGACAGCTCCAGGCAAAACAGACCCAATAACAAGAGAGACGGCTCCAGGCCAAACAGACCCAAGAACAAGAAAGACAGCTCCAGGAAAAACAGACCCAATAACAAGAGAGATGGCTCCAGGCAAAACAGACCCAAGAACATAAGAGACGGCTCCAGGCAAAACAGACCCAATAACAAGAGGGACGGCTCCAAGGCAAACAGACCCAAGAACAAAAGAGACGGCTCCAGGCAAAATAGACCCAAGAACAAGAAAGACGGCTCCAGGCAAAACAGACCCATGAACAAGAGGGACGGCTCCAGGCAAAACAGACCCAAGAACAAGAGAGATGGCTCCAGGCAAAACAGACCCAAGAACAAGAGAGACAGCTCCAGTCCAAACAGACTCAGTACACACAACATAGACAGCTCCAGGCAAAACAGACCCAATAACAAGAGAGACGGCTCCAGGCCAAACAGACCCAATAACAAGAGAGACGGCTCCAGGCAAAACAGACCCAAGAACAAGAGAGACGGCTCCAGGCCAAACAGACTCAGCAGACACGACAGAGACAGCTCCAGGCAAAACAGACCCACTAACAAGAGAGACAGCTCCAGGTCAAACAGACTCAGCAGGCACAACAGATCCCGCCACGGCCCAAAAAGACCCAGGCACAACAAGACCTGAAGAAGTTAATCTAGGCACAAACACACCAACACCCAAAGGGGCTCCACTAAATGCAGAAACAGAAAAACAGGGTAGACAGGTGGATGCAAAGAACAAGGTGGACGTTGGGAAGGATGGAAAGACAAACCACAACCAAAGGGATTGGAAAGAGGGAAAGCAGAAGGTGGAACTGGAAAAAAAAAAAAGAATAAGGGAGAGGAGCTGGGGGCAATTGTTGGAGAGATGGACAAACAGATAGAAGAAAAAGATAAAGATGTGGGAAAAGACCTCAGACAGAAGCAAGGTGGAGAAGATACAGAGCTGGATAGAGAGAATAGAGGAGAGGGGGAATGATGCAAACCCAAAGATAAAGAACGAAGGAGAAAGGACAGTACACAGCAGACCACAAAGACAAGAACCAGACAAATCAACACACAGGAGGACAACCAGGATACCCAGTCAGGGGAACCAGCCAGGGGAGTAGAGACAGAATAATGATGTGGAAGAATAAGGGAAAGGGCAAAGAGGAAGTAATAAAGAGACTGAGAGGAGAAAGATGAGAAGAGAAAAGAGAACAGAGATGGAAAAATGACCACAATAGAGGTATTGGTGCAAACACAGAGGATGAGAGGGGAAATGAAGGAGAGATGGAGGAGGAAGCGGAAGAGGAGAAGGAACCAGACACAGAGAAAGAAGGAGATGATACCAACCAGACATCCACCCAGAGTGATGAGGAGATGGATGAGACACCCACCCCAGACCCCAATGAGCAGCACATTACCCAGACTACACTACAGGGGCAGTCCAGTGACTCCACAGGAGCCCTAGAGAACCAAGAAGAGATGGAACATGAGACACCCACCCCAGACCCCAATGAGCAGCACATTACCCAGACTTCACTACAGAGGCTGTCCAGTGACTCACAAGAATCCCTAATGGAAACAACCCAGTAGAATTCTGGGACAGCTGTATGACTTTAAATGCACTGTTTTTGAAATTACACTATAGTTTGGATAACAGGTCTCCACGTTATTTTCTAGTGGAGTTAGAAGTGCTGTCCTCATACTGTTAGAAGAAAGACTGTAGTGAAGAAAATGCTGGATGCTACATATTTATTGATTGACTTTCACAGTGAAAATAAAAGGGAATAAAGTGCTCAGTGTAATAGAAGCATTGGAATTACTTGATTTGGTTTCATAATTTGCAAACTGCATTTTATTCTCTAGTTATGTTTCAGTTCTATGCACCAGTGGTAGCTAGCATAATACATAATATACTACAAGTTAATAAACTACTGATTGCTGTCAGAATAAAAGACTGAAGTGACAAAAAAGTATTTTCTAAAAGTTTACAATCAGCATTTTCCTCAAGTTACGTTTCAGTGCTACGTACCTGTGGTAGCTAACATAATACATGATTTACTACAAGTTAATACACTATTTGTTATTTTAGCTCAATTTAAAGATATGTTTTAATTAACCTTAACATACTGTCATTGCTAAAGCACTTACTTAGGCTACTAATATGCCATTTTGATGGGTTGTCAGAGGTTCTCAATGATCACTTTAAATATATAAATGTTTAAAAAATTATGTGAAAATGTGACTGTAACCAGACCAGAACAAGCGGCGAACACACTAAATGTATTCGGTAAAGTGTTATGAAATGTAATGTCATATAATATTTTAAACTGTATAACTGTCTTAATGTTACTGGACCCCATGAAGAGTAGCTACTTCTTTGCCAGCAGCTAATGGGGATCCTTAATAAAAACAACAACAACAAAATACTCTGCAGGTTGATGTTTGTCATGAGTCTTGTCCTGGAGGCAGAACTGAGTGCTTTCCGCTAGATGGGCCAGCTGCAGTCACGTTGGCTATATTGTAAAAACAAGCGGGTGTCTCTCCGCATCATGTGGGACTAAACAGCATCCCCCCAGAGTAATGAAGATGGGGCAGAACTGGCAACTTGAAATCAAGTGAACCTTCACATGCCCTTTCCTTCATAATATCATATTTTTACAAGTCATATTATGTGAAACGCATCACAAGAAGTATCTGAATTTGACTGGAATTCCTACACAGCTAAACAATTTAGGCCTATTGGACTATATTCTATACTGTATAAAACAAAAACTGGTATGGTCAATATTGCATGACCAAATCAACTCAATGACTAATAACAGTGAAGATAACCTTTGGTTATGGAGAAGATATTTCACAGTGGCAGGTCTGTAATGAAATAGGGAGACAGGCAAATGCTAGAAACAGTGGTAAGGTTGGAAGCAGGGATTGAACCCTGTTCTCAGGTGGAAAGTTGAATGCAACATGTGCCGGGGAGCATTACCAGTACACCAAGGCTCTGCACAGGAAATATGAATGGTTGATGGCAGTGGATAACCAAATCATAGGTTGCGGTCTCCTTGTCCATAGACACGGTAAGGACACAAACATTTTATATTTTGTAATTTAGGTGAATTATCTCTTTAAAATAGCTCTTGAAGAAAATCCTGCTTGCTCTCCAGGAGGGTTGGTCACCCGATCTATGTTTCCCAAGTGCTGGGTGTTTGAAAAATCTAATAAATATTCATGTTCAGGTGGTTTATGCCTACTAATTGAAGACCCTTGACATCATCTCTACTTAGACAAAATATGATGTGTTTATGAGTTGCTTAGCGTGTGCACAATACTAAAATGACAAAAATTATATTTGATTCCTGGAGTATTAAATATGCTTATTTGTATGACTTATTCAAAACTGTCCTTAAATGGCTGCAAAAATACATTGCCTCATATAATTCATTTTCAAAGACACAAGTAGGCATATAAGATTTAAAATATGTGATTACACTGGCAAAATTTGGAGGAAGTAGAATAATAAAAATAAGTGGTGAACAACAGTGGTCCTCTGTAGCTCAATTGGTAGAGCATGGCGCTTGTAACGCCGTGATAGTGGGTTCAATCCCCGGGACCACCCATACGTAAAAATTTATGCACACATGACTGTAAGACGCTTTGGATAATATTATTATTATATTATAACGATTAGTTACCGGAGTGTAACTCCAGTTCTATGAGTGGAGCGGAGCCCCATAGGGGAGCTCTGCTCCTATTGGTTTACCCACTGCCCTAAGGCAGCATCAGCCTGAGACAAAATTATGCACACACTTGCAGCCAATAGGAGTACAGGTGTCCCTATAAGAGGGGATGCCTCCCCTCAATCAGCCTCCCGAGATATTTATCTTCAGCGAGACTAGAGAGGGTCGGCAGGGCCTTAAGACCAATGGGGCTCCGCTCCACTCATAGAACTGGAGTTACACTCCGGTAACTAATCGTTCTATATCGTGGAGCTCCGCCCCATAGGGGAGCTCTGCTCCTATTGGTTTAAGGCGGAGCGTAGCGCTCCAAAATGTACTCCCTGCCGAGCCCAACACTTCCCATCAAAATGAAAAGGTCAGGCCTAGCAATGGCTGCAACCAATTCCCGCAGTACTGTAACCACTGTCACCCTACAAGTGTCACAATATACTGCGTCATCGGTTAAAAACCCGCCCCACCTAGTCCAACGGCAACACCAATGACTAGTGGGCAGATCACCAGAATACAGGCCATACTAATCTGTACTAGCAGATAGATGGTACCTCAATATCCTGTTACAATACTACCGACCACTAATGGAATGACACAAAGTGTCACTCTACATTGTGTACACGGTAGGCCGCCTCACTCAATCAATGGAACCCCAGAGATTAGTGGGCAGATCCCAGAACATGATTCATACTAATCTGAACAAGCAGATAGGTGACGTCACATTCCGTCAAATTGTCATGACCGGTCTAATAGTATCGTAACCAAGTTACTACTATTATCCCCCATCATTCCGCCTCACTCCAGTGAATCACTCCAGTGACCCCCTCTTGACATGAGGTCTGCTCCTATGTTCAAGTAGCCCGGAATGTGTGCTGCTCTCAATGAGCGATGGTGCTCGTGAGCCCACAGCCACAATTCCTCTGCCGCCCGATGGAGAGCAGGAGACCTGACTCCTCCCTGGCGATTTATGTGGGCTACTGTGGTCCGGTTGTCTGACCAGACCAGCACATCGCGACCCTGAAGGGTAGACGCGAAGTGGGTCAAAACCAGTCGAACCGTTTCCAACTCCAAGAGGTTGATGTGGCCACTCGAAAGAGGCCACACACCTCCTATCGCTTGGGTCTGACATGTCCCTCCCCATTCCGTCAGAGACGCATCTGTGAACACTGGGATGTAAGAGGACACTCTGCCTATCGGGACTCCGTGCGTGAGAACGCGCGGGTTTCTCCAATAGTTCAGATCTGCACTGAGCGAGAGGGGAACCACCACCAACCGATGACGTTGACGCAATGGTTCTAGTCTTAGTTGGGCGAACCATCGCTGCATCCTGCGCATGTGTAGGAGTCCCAGCGGAACCACAGAGTGGGCTGACGACATGAGACCCAAGAGTGACATGATCGACAGCGCCGTCACCGTGTGATTCGGACGACACTTCCTCAGGGCTAGCAACAAGGCTACCCTTCGGGGGTCCGAAATTCGAGCCCTCATCATTACAGTGTCTAGCTGTATCCCCAGGTAGACAATCTGATGACTGGGCCAGGGCGCGCTCTTTTTCAAATTCACAGCGAACCCCAGACGTGTGAGATGAATCACTGTCTGTGTTGTGTGAGTGATCGCCAGCTCTGCTGACGGGGCGAGAACCAGTAGGTTGTCTAGGTAGGCTAGTAGCCGTATTCCCTGATGACGCAACGGTTCCAATGCCGCCTCCACACACTTGGAAAACGTGCGAGGTGCCAGGGCGTACCCAAATGGCATCCTCGTGTATTCTTCCGCCACCCCTTGAAAGGCGAATCGCAGAAACTTCCTGTGATGCGGCTGTACCGGCACATGAAAGTACGCGTCCTTTAGGTCTATGCTCGTACAAAAGTCTCCTTTCTGGACACATTCCAGCAGACGTTTTGTCGTTAGCATTCGAAAGGGCCGTTTGGTTACGCTCTCGTTGAGAATGTGTAAATCCAATATCGGCCTCATTCCCCCCGTCTTTTCTGGCACCAGGAAGTAGGGCGAATATAGCCATTTGTTCCTTTGCTCCTGGGGAACCACTGTGACCGCCTCCTTCGCCAAAAGTTCCGTAATCTCTGAAACCAGAGCGGCCA